CCTCTATGTAGGGCTCCTGATTGGTCAACAGGATTCTCAAATTGTGTAAAAGGTTTTTTTGTTTCAAATTAGTGAAAAAAATCAATTATGTGAATTTTTTAAAAACACAATAATTCAATGTCATGTTTACTATAAACTGATTCTCCAAGTTATTTATATTAGCCAAAAAGACGTATATGAATTTAACTATGAGGGATTGTTTATTTTGTGGTTGTCGCTATTTAGTAATGTGTAAAGACATTTCTGTTGTCAACTTCTGGTGGCAGGAAGGGTGGGGGAAGGCATCATTGGCATTTAATGTGTCAGGCCAGGGATGCAAATAAACATCAGTGTGCAAGACAGTCCTCTAAAACAAGAAAGCAAAAATGTCCCCAGTGCCATGGCTGAGAACCCCTGGGTTTAGTAAAGTATAACCAATCTGTGGCATAATATATAGCTATTAAAAAATAATCTTGCAGGGACAGCCCACAGCATGGTGGTTAAGGTGGCTAGATCCCACATGACTGCCTGTGTGTGGTTTGAATCTTGGACCAGTGGCTTGAAACACTCTGGGAATGCGTGCCCAAAATCCCAAAAGGAGGGAGAAACAGAGGAGAAGAGGTCGTGTGGCCATGCCCCATGGGGTGCTTCCTTACTTTCCCTCTCTCTCTGGAGAGTGCGTGTGCCGTCTGGCAAACTTAAAAATAAATCTTGTAGACAAGTGATTCTCAACTCTGGCTGTATATCAGGATATGTGATGAGTCACCTGAAGAGCTTTTAAGGTCCCACTACTAATTAATCAGCATCGGACTCTCTGGGATAGGATTGGGCATGACTATGTTTTTGATTCTTTCTAGGTAAAGTAATGTAAGGCTAGGCTTGAGAATCACCAATTTAGACTCATATTCTACAGAGACATTAAATGATGGAAATATGTACATGTTAACTTTAAAGAAAGCATATGACAAAGCTATTTACGCATAATTAATTTTGTATTAAAACACACAAATTGTAAAACACATGTGCAACAGTCATGTACCACATAAAGATACTTTAGCTGACAACAGACTGCATGTGTGACAATGGCCCATGAGAATCATATAGGCAATATCATGTCACTTAGACTGTGCCACCTAGGTTTGTGTAAGTATGCTCTATGATGTTTAGACAACAAAAAAAATTGGCTAATGACACACTTCTCAGAATGTATTTCTGTCATAAAATGATGCATGACTATGCATGCAATGTAAAATGGTACCAATGTATAAGAGTACTTACTTTAAAATTTTTAGAGGTTTTTTGCCTTAGGGTGTGTGTGTTTGCCAGAGAGAGAGAGAGAGAGACAGAGAGAGAGAGACAGACAGACAGTGAGAGAGAAAGTGAGAAGTCACTCCCAGGGGGGATGGCCATGCCACAATCTTTTCTCCTCCATTCTTTCGGGATTTGGGGCGGGCACACACACATTCCCAGCATGATTTTAAAGCCACTGGGCCTGGGAGTCACACTGCGGTTGGCCATGTGGGAGTCCAGCGACATAACCACTATGCAATATGCAGACCCCGAGAGTATTCATTTGTATATTCTTTCTCACATATGTATTTCTTTGTAATAAAAGACAAAAGATTGCTTTGAAAAATAGCATGACAATTTCTTACAAAACTAAAGATGTCATTTCCATAATACCCAACAATTATACTCCTGAGTATTTATCACAAAAAAAATGAAAACTGTTTACATAACAATCTCTAAGTAAATGTTTATAGCAGCGTTTTTTATAATAGTCCCAAATAGAACCCCAATATCCTTCACCAGATGAATGGTTGAATAAACTGTGGTATACCCATATAATAGACTACTACTCAGCAATAAAACAAACAACAGAAAAACTGACCTAGGCAACAAGCCGAATGTCATCACAAAGTTATACTGAGTAGAAAAAAGTCGATATCAAAGGTAACATACTGTGAAATTCCACTTACACAGCATTCCTAAAATTTATAGAAATGGAGAACAAATGAGTGGTTTTAAGGGGTTAGGGATGGGTGAGACGGTATTAGATGTGGTTATAAAAAGATAACAAAAATAAGCTTGTGGTGAAGAACTGTTCTAGACGTTGACTGTACCAGTGTTAATATCCTGATATTGTACTATGGTTTTTTGAGGTGTTACTTATAGGGAAAACTAGGTAAAAGGAAAACGAGATCTCTCTGTCGTTTCTTAAAACTGCATATGAATCTACAATTAAACTCAAAAGTTTAATTTTAAGAAGACAACAGGAATCAATGTGAACTAGAAAAAATACTACTGTACTGATTCAATACCTTCCTTAAGGAGATTTATTTTTTAAATAATAAAAAGATGTGTGTCTAATAAAAAAAACTGCTTTAAGAAACAAAAATATCCTTTATACCTCTAAACTGGTGAATACAAGAATTTAATTTTCAGATAATAATGCTTCCCTTCAGATGGAAAGATGGTTACTATTTCCTTCTCAGCCACATAACTTGTCCTAAGTAAGCAGTGAAATACAAATGATGGAATAAGAGGTTGCCTTGTGGAGAATTAGAATTTACCTGATTCATCGGCCTTCTCAGTTCCTGACACTTGTAAACATGGGAAGCCCCAAGTCCTAAGGCCAGTGGACAGGTGAAAGTGACAGATGAAAACAGGAACAGGCACCCCAAACAGTGGTTCTTAAATGGAGAGAGCACTGGAGACGGGCCCATTAACAATGCAGACTTCCCCAAACATATTCTCAGCTATTGCATCTGTGGCTCTGGGATATAGCCTGTCAAACCAGATTTTTTAGCAAACACAGTGGGTAAAACCAGACTTGCAGAAACTCTAGACTAAGGGATGCTGAGAGCTAGACTGCTCAATCAGAACAATGGCTTTTGGGCATCTTTCTTTCAGAAAGATGAAAGGGATTCTTCTAGTTCAGGAACTTACATAAAACCAGTTACACAGGAATACTTGCAAAGAACTGAACTCATATTAAGGAACAGACTAGATGTGGATGCTAAACTGAAGAGAGGAGAGGAAAAATGGTGGCCACTCTGTTGTAGTGATGAGACCATAGCCACGTGGTCCCCAGGTCTCTGTTAAATAACTGAGAGCATGCAGAAGGGAATTTTAAGGGAGACTAAGTTCTAGCATTATGTTCAGGAGTATGGGGAACGTATTGTAACCTTACTTTTTACCCCTATGAAGATCAGGGTGATCTCAGGAAGCAGAGACTGCACTTACAGACAAAACAAAGTACAAACTACATCCAGTCCTAGTTTCTTTAAGGTATAATTTCACTATCACATGGGGGAGAAAGGCTTTATATCAAATTGTAACTTGTGGGACCAAGGGGGAGATGCCGATCAAAAGGTACAAACTTTCAAATACAAGATGAAAAAGTTCTGGAGATCTAATGAACCATGGTGACAATAGTTAATTATAATGTATAGTATACTTGAAATTTGCTAAGAAAGCACCTCTTAAATATTCTCAGCACATACACACACACACACACACACACACACACACACACACACACACACACACACACACACACACACACACACACACACACACACACACACACACACACACACACACACACACACACACACACACACACACATGCACACACAGAGATAAAAGGTAACTGAGACAAGAGTTATCTATGTTAATTACCTTAACTGTGGTAAGCATTTCACAATGTACATGTATATCAAGATATGTTACTTGCCTTAAATATATACAATTTTTATTTGATAATTACAACTCATTAAAATTGGGGAAAAGAATAAAAACTTTATCCCTGTCTTTTGCTGCTGGCACCTTCTCAACGTCTCAAGTCTCCCACAACTGCTTCCTGATCTCCCAGCCTCTAAACAGCCTTGTCTGTGACCTCTTTTTCACCCTTGTCTGCTCTTCTCAGTCTGTTTCTTGTCTATGACTTGGATTTCTCTCGATAGTAATTCTGATTCTCTTTCACTTCACTGCTTTGCCTCTGGTCATTTTTACTACAAACTTTTTTGGCTCATTGTTTATCCAAGAACCCTCACACCCAGTTTCACCTGGCAGAAGTGAACTGCCCATCAAGGTGCCCCATCAGCTTGCCACACCATGTGCTGGTGAGGGTGACTATAACATGTCTGGTGAAGCTCTCAGTTCGAAGTAGCCAGAGTGTGTTTTCTTTTGCCTGTCCTGGTTTGGTCTTACCTGCTTAGATAGTCCATAGCTGGCCTGTTTTACCCTGGGCCATGGTCTCAACTGACCCTTACCTTATAATTCTAGTTAGAATTATACCAGTTCTAATCAACTATTAATGGGTTCAGTAACTGTGGTGTTAAAAACTGCATTTGACCTTAGTCCCGTAATCCATGCCTGCCGTGGGTAAAGATGAGGGCAGAGACTTGCATTCTAAGAGGCTGCCATCTTTGGAACAGATAATTTCTTCCTTTAGGGCTCATAAATTGACTGCAAGCTCTTCACATATTTCTTTGCATTCTTTTACTCAAACCCCAAATCATTTAGAAAAAAAATATTTCTAGTGCATTAGCATTTTCCAATAATATTTGCTATATAAATATCTGGAGAGTAGAAACTGCAGGAATTGTGCTTTTCCTCCACAGAGAACATACTGGGCAAATGCCTTTGGCAGAATCCATTTTGCAGTTGTAGTTTGGGAATTGTACAAATCTTCCTAGCTTCAGGTTGGAAAAACAGTAGCTTCTGGGCTGAATGGTGTCTGAAAAATTGTCCCAAGTTATTCAAAAGCCCTTCCCTCTGGCTGTTTCTCATCTTTAACTATTCGTTGTCCTTAGTTTCTGGTCTCTTAGGATAGATGTCTTAGAGTTGAAATGAGAATACCAAATCATGAGGGTTAGCATACAGAGTGGCATTCCTATTC